AACCAATCAGAAACATTAACTGGAGCCACACACACACACACACACACACACACACACTTCTTTATAAGAAGAGATGAGGAGGACCTGGATGACGGTCGTCAAACGGATCAGGATCCGCTTTGTGGTACTCTCCTGTCTCTCGTTCAATCAGCTCAGACATTCTGTAGGAGACAAGAGACATTAGACAGAAGAGACACACATAGATGAGACACAGAGATAAATAACGAATGCTAACTTAGTGAGGATGGACACCAGCTGCTCCGTGGTTCCCTGCTGCGCCTCCTCCCATTCGTCCAGCAGCGCGGCGAGATCCGCCTTCGAGTCCACCGCCATGGCAGCCGACACGGCCGCAGACAACGCAGACGACAGCGCAGACGACAGGGCAGACGACAGCGCAGACGACAGAGCAGACGACACGGCAGCCGACTGTTCTTCTTCTGGGGAAGACATTGATGCCTGGAGGACAGGAAGAGGGACAAGTAAAACAGGTTTGTGTCTGCTGTCAATCATTCAGAACAAAGAAGAGCTGAGTCAGCAGAGAAAGATTAAAAGCTGCTTCATCAAACTGTAAATAACTGAAGAACATTTGTTCAGATCTCTTTAATTCACCAACATAAGAGCTGCTGTACTTCTGCAGATGTGTACAGATGTTTACAGTTCTCACACACACGAGGATTGTTTTATGCGATGTATTTATTATTCCATCGCTCTGCATACTGATGTTGGTAAATGTCTTTCTTAACGATGCAATACGTCTTCCCATCACGTGAACCACGTGTACTGACACTAGTGTTACGCTGTGGGAGAGATGAGGTAGGAAGTATAACAGCATAAATCACAATGATCATAATAAAATGCTGTAAACAAAGGGAAACCTGGAGATGAAGACATGTTGTACTTTTTTACTCCACTACATTTATTTGATGTTAGTTACTTTATAAATTGTGATTATTTATCCATAACATAAATAACTAGTGACGTGTTATTATAGATTATAATACCAATCAACATGTAAAGTAGTTTAAAGTAACGCCACTAAGATATAATATAAAACATATATATATATATATATATATATATATATATATAAAAATAACAGAATTATTGTTATGTTTGCACATACAATCAGTGCAATAGTATGAGATATTATTTAAACACAAACATATTTACAATGGAATATGATAAACAAAGAGTGCGTTACAATAAGTCTTAATTAAAGACATTCTGCATAACGACTACTTCTAGTATTTTAAAGTGTATTTTTAAGACAATACTTTTGTACTCGAGTATGCTTCGTTTACTCGTAAAGTACTGTTAGCTGTTTGTGCACTGTTACATGTTACATGTTATGTTACATGTTATTATATTGTAAATCTTAATATGTTCTATTTGTTGCACTGTGTTGATTGTTAAATGTTATGAACCTTCCATCACGTTAAACTCCGTGTATGAGAAACACTGTTAATAAACGGTTCCGATTCTGATTCAGTATTTTGATGAGTTCAGTTTCATAAAACTCACCAGAAGTCTCAGTGAGGCTCAACGCTGAGACATCAGACAGACAGACAGGAGAGGTTATATAGAGAGAGACAGACAAACAGACAGACAGGAGAGGTTATATAGAGAGAGAGACAGACAGACAGACAGGAGAGGTTATATAGAGAGAGACAGACAGACAGACAGACAGCAGTCTCTCGAGGACACTTGCTGCTTATCTGCGCTTTTAGCTAACGAGGTGACCGTTAGCAGTTAGCTAACTGTGCTAACTCGTGAGTGAGTGTGTTCGTAACGTCTCGTTCGTGTGTAACGTTCCTCCTGGTCCTCCGGTGAACGTGTTGACGTGTTAACGAGAAGAGTTCGGATCCTAACTAGCAGCGTGTCGCCTCATGTCACACCAACAGCTCCAGCTAGCAGCAACTGTTTCTAAATGTCACAAACTCACCTGAAGAAGAGCTGCTTCTTCTTCGTCTTCTTCTTCTGTGGTGGTTTTACTCACTTCTGATAACTGTGTTTTGTTTTTTGCCGGAAAACAAACAAAACGTGTTCAGAAAATATGAAAAAAAACTCACGTTTATTTTCAAAAACTTCTCCCCGGCGGCTGCGCGCTACGTCACAGAACGGTGGTCGACGTTTGATGACGAAACACGGAGAAACCTGCTGGTGGGACTTGTAGTTCACAGAGTTCTGATCGCTTTATTTGACTTTTAGGGAAATCTATTGATTGGAAAGAATATCTGATCACAGTTCGATATCATTAATAACTTTTGATCATTTTGACTAAAATAACTTCTTCTTCTTCTTCAAAGTTTCAGATCGAGACAAAATTAAAATGCAGATTCATGATGAAACGTTTGAGACTCGAACACTTCACATCAACAACTAAACGAGGACAACAGAGCTACAAACAAGTGCAAACAGTTTATTGAGTCTTTGGGACAAAAAGAAGAGAAGAAGTCTGTTTGGTCTGCAGCTGTCTTCAGATGCTCGTTGAAACACGTTCGTCTGTTTATTTACAGGCTTTAATGATGAAAAACATGAAATCAAAAGCAAGAACACGAGCTGCTGGTCTTCAGGGTTCCTTCACGTTCCACAGCATATCTTTAGAAATCACTGCAGACGTCATGAGAATAACAACAATAATCATTATTATTCCTCATGTCCACTCTGACCTCTGACCTCCAACAAGCAGAACATATTTATCCAGCTGCAACAATTAGTCAGGTATTCAAACTCTATTGGCAAATATTCTGATAATCGATTAATCAAAACAGCTTCATGTTTGAGTACATTGAATATTTTGGGGTTTTAACACTGTTGATCTGTTGTTGAGAACGTCACTTTAAACAGCTTTCTGATGTTATATCGTCCAAAAACAATTGGCAGATGAATCGATTATAAAAACAATCATTAATAACATAATTATTCACGGCAGGACCTCAAAATACTCCTTTAGTGTCCGCACCATGTTCCAACCCTTTAAGATCGTTCTTCAGCCGTGCGATGTATACCCGAGGACTCGGCTAGTGAGCCTTCAGCTTGTCTCCACACAGCGTGACGAGGAGTCCGTACAGGAGGCCCCCCGTGAGGAGGAGCAGGGTGCTGCTCACGGGGCCCAGCGACAGAGCGGCTCCCAGCACGTAGAGCAGCAGCAGCAGCAGCAGCGTCCGGTAGCTCGCCAGCGGGCGCAGGCTCAGACGAGCGCTCCGGTTCCTCTCAGACGAGCGGCGGGACGTCGGGCTCAGCTTCGGTTTCTTGGCGGAGGAATCGAGATCCGACAAGTAGTGACGACCCAGACGACCCAGCAGGTCCGGACGAGAGCAGAGCGCGTTCATGTGCCCTCCGAACTGTGGGAGATATGAGCGCCCGTTAGGGTACAGCTCAAAGAACAGAAAGACAAACGTGGTGGTTGTTCTAGCCAGCTTCTTAAATATTAACGGTGCATTATGGGACATTCATTTAATCGATTTCTTACACGATGTTTACATGTGAGAAACCTTTAATAACTGAGGCTCAATGGAAAATGATGTGTACACACACACACACACACATACATACACACATATACATACTGTAACTGACAGCTAGCTCCATGTTTTATAGTTGATAACATAATGTCCTCATAAGTGCAGACGCCTCTCACCCGCTCATTAAGCAGAGAAGAGATCCTGTAGAACATTCTGACCAGCAGGGCATTCTCATAGCTCCTGATGGGCTGCAGCTCCGGGTCTCCTTGGTACTGAATGTCAAACCTGCGCAGTCCACTTATGATCTACACACACAGACACAGACACAGACACACACACACACACACATCACAGTTCTGATGCGTGTCGTCCTTCTTCTTCTCTCCTCTCGATGGTTCATGAGTACAGACCTGCTTCCTGCCCAGGTCCGTTAGAATCAGTCCGTTCTCTCCCTGGATGCAGTCTGGGAGCTGCTTGTTGTTCCCGTCGTCCTGAGAGGAGCTCAGGTTGGATATGAGCTGAGCCAGCTGACCCTGGTTCAGCTGCAGGACAGAGACATTCAGTAAACAGAACCAGGTTCAGAGACAGGAACGTGTTAATGTGACAAGCTGCTCTGAAGGTCAGTTAGAATGTGTCCAATACTTTGCTTCATGACCAAACACCTTCAAAGCTCGATATAATAAATATAAAACAAACAAGAAAACACAGAACAAAGTATCCGGACCTTGAAGATCTGACACAGGTTCTCCAGAGCTCGGTCCAGGAACTCGTGGGTCTTCTTCAGACACTCTCCGCTCTCCTCCGGCTCGGCCCCGGAGAACGTGTTGTTGAGCTCAGAGGTTCCCATCCCGAACCACGACAGGAACGAGTTGTTGGCCGACACCTCGCTGGAGTGATCCGATATCCTCTTGGCCGTCTGACGGGCTTGTGCGATAATCTGGATTAACTTCATCACCTGCAGAAACAACAGAAATGTGGCTTTGAGTCTCCTGCAGAAGTTAAACCTGGACTCAAATCCCAAATAAAAACCCCCGAAGACTAAACGTACTGCTCCTCTGAGCTCGGAGCCAAACATCTGTTTGTACTGGCAGTCCTGGCCCTCCAGAGCATAGACGTGGCCCTTCACCCTGAACACCATGTCGGTCACCACGCGCTGCCGGGAGGACAGGAAGCTGCCGCCCTGGCTGGGCGTCAGGTATCCGCGGGGCTGCCGGTGGTGGAGGACGTGCTCCGGCTCCAGAAACAGCTGCTCTCCTGGTGACACACGGTTACTTTAGTTTGTCTGAAGCAGAGAGAAATCTACCGAATGCTTTAGAAACATCTTCACAGAGCCCAGAGTGACGTCTTCACATCAGTTTCATGACCAAGTGATGAACACAGGAGAGAAGAGGCTTCAGATAAGACTCTCACTGTCCTCTCAGGGCTTCCGTATGAAGACACCTCATACCATATAAAGAGCGGCCATCTCTCCACCGTACTCTGACAGATAAAAGATGAAACCCGGAGATGAAATCTCTATAATGTGTTAATGACGCCATCTGTCTCCACCTCACGTCGGTGACGTCTCTGTCCTCACCTTTCTGGATCATCTCGGTGAGGTTGGGCTGAGCGAACACTTTGGCCACTCTGAAGACCATCAGCGCGTTCCTGGCGTTAACCAGGTCCGTCCTCACGGCTCTGTTGAGCAGCACCTGGAAGAGCTTGGTGTACATCAGCAGGTTCTCCTGAACAAACGACTCCCTGTCCACCACAAACAAATGGAACAACAGATCAGCTGATGTACCGACACACATCATCACGGAGCCGAGGACCACTGCGTGTTGGATTCATTCACAAAAAGGCGTCTTTATCTGAGCCAGAAGACAGAATCAGACTCACCACTTGTCAGGTACGGTTCTGTTGGGGTCTGGCTGAGGGTTGGTACTCTCCTCGGTGTATCTCCACGGTTGGATGTAGCTCAGCCACGTCTCCAACACCTGAACCCAGAGACGATCACAATAAACTAAACGCTGAACCCACGAGCGTCTCTTCAGCCTCACAGCTGGTTATCCTTCTGGAGAGAGAAGGCTTGATGCTGAACAATAAGAAGGAAGTGGTTTCTGCTGCTCGCCCAAAGTCCACTTTAATCTGGTCCCTTTACAAACAGTTTGATTTATTAGTGGTCATCAAATAACTACCGAGACTAAACTTGGCTTTCATGTTTGATCCACATTGCTGCAAACTGTACAGAAATATATTTAGAGTTTCAGTCATTTCCTCAAACCTTCAAAGACTTCATAGAAGAAGTAAACAAAGTCGCTGTGACGTCACTCGTTGTTTTGAAGCCTCGAGTTTGGGAATTAGGTCGTCGCCATCTTGTTTCTTTATCAACCGGTGAACAGGAAGTGAGCATATCTGGACTGAGGAGGAGTGACATAGAGACGCTGTATATGTCTCTGGTAGAGACCTGTCAATCACCGTGTAGCCCCGCCCTACAGCATCCCCTGCTTTATGGTCTGTTTGACTCTAAATGGACCATAATG